CAGGACTAATGTGGTTGTACTGTACTTCCTGGTTCTAGTCAGGACTAATGTGGCCGTACTTCCTGGTTCTAGTCAGGACTAATATGGTCGTACTTCCTGGTTCTAGTCAGGACTAATGTGGTCGTACTTCCTGGTTCTAGTCAGGACTAATGTGGTCGTACTTCCTGGTTCTAGTCAGGACTAATGTGGTCGTACTTCCTGGTTCTAGTCAGGACTAATGTGGTCGTACTTCCTGGTTCTAGTCAGGACTAATGTGGTCGTACTTCCTGGTTCTAGTCAGGACTAATATGGTCATACTTCCTGGTTCTAGTCAGGACTAATGTGGTCGTACTTCCTGGTTCTAGTCAGGACTAATATGGTCATACTTCCTGGTTCTAGTCAGGACTAATGTGGTCGTACTTCCTGGTTCTTGTCAGGACTAATATGGTCATACTTCCTGGTTCTAGTCAGGACTAATGTGGTCGTACTTCCTGGTTCTAGTCAGGACTAATATGGTCATACTTCCTGGTTCTAGTCAGGACTAATATGGTCATACTTCCTGGTTCTAGTCAGGACTAATGTGGTCGTACTTCCTGGTTCTAGTCAGGACTAATATGGTCATACTTCCTGGTTCTAGTCAGGACTAATGTGGTCGTACTTCCTGGTTCTTGTCAGGACTAATATGGTCATACTTCCTGGTTCTAGTCAGGACTAATGTGGTCGTACTTCCTGGTTCTAGTCAGGACTAATATGGTCATACTTTCCTGGTTCTAGTCAGGACTAATGTGGTCGTACTTCCTGGTTCTAGTCAGGACTAATGTGGTCATACTTCCTGGTTCTAGTCAGGACTAATGTGGTCGTACTTCCTGGTTCTAGTCAGGACTAATGTGGTCGTACTTCCTGGTTCTAGTCAGGACTAATGTGGTCGTACTTCCTGGTTCTAGTCAGGACTAATGTGGTCGTACTTCCTGGTTCTAGTCAGGACTAATGTGGTCGTACTTCCTGGTTCTAGTCAGGACTAATATGGTCATACTTCCTGGTTCTAGTCAGGACTAATGTGGTCGTACTTCCTGGTTCTAGTCGTACTTCCTGGTTCTAGTCAGGACTAATGTGGTCGTACTTCCTGGTTCTAGTCAGGACTAATGTGGTCGTACTTCCTGGTTCTAGTCAGGACTTATGTGGTCGTACTTCCTGGTTCTAGTCAGGACTAATGTGGTCGTACTTCCTGGTTCTAGTCAGGACTAATGTGGTCGTACTTCCTGGTTCTAGTCAGGACTAATGTGGTCGTACTTCCTGGTTCTAGTCAGGACTAATGTGGTCGTACTTCCTGGTTCTAGTCAGGACTAATGTGGTCGTACTTCCTGGTTCTAGTCAGGACTAATATGGTCGTACTTCCTGGTTCTAGTCAGGACTAATGTGGTCGTACTTCCTGGTTCTAGTCAGGACTAATGTGGTCGTACTTCCTGGTTCTAGTCAGGACTAATGTGGTCGTACTTCCTGGTTCTTGTCAGGACTAATGTGGTCGTACTTCCTGGTTCTAGTCAGGACTAATGTGGTCGTACTTCCTGGTTCTAGTCAGGACTAATGTGGTCGTATCTTCCTGGTTCTAGTCAGGACTAATGTGGTCATACTTCCTGGTTCTAGTAGGACTAATGTGGTCGTACTTCCTGGTTCTAGTCAGGACTAATATGGTCATACTTCCTGGTTCTAGTCAGGACTAATGTGGTCGTACTTCCTGGTTCTAGTCAGGACTAATATGGTCATACTTCCTGGTTCTAGTCAGGACTAATGTGGTCGTACTTCCTGGTTCTAGTCAGGACTAATGTGGTCGTACTTCCTGGTTCTAGTCAGGACTAATGTGGTCGTACTTCCTGGTTATAGTCAGGACTAATGTGGTCGTACTTCCTGGTTCTAGTCAGGACTAATGTGGTCGTACTTCCTGGTTCTAGTCAGGACTAATGTGGTCGTACTTCCTGGTTCTAGTCAGGACTAATGTGGTCGTACTTCCTGGTTCTAGTCAGGACTAATGTGGTCGTACTTCCTGGTTCTAGTCAGGACTAATATGGTCATACTTCCTGGTTCTAGTCAGGACTAATGTGGTCGTACTTCCTGGTTCTAGTCAGGACTAATGTGGTCGTACTTCCTGGTTCTAGTCAGGACTAATGTGGTCGTACTTCCTGGTTCTAGTCAGGACTCGAGCTGCTGCATTTTGAATGTACTGCAGCTGTTTTAAAGCTCGCTTAGAGACCAGCGAGCAGGCCGTCAGAATAGACAAATGTTGATGCTACTGCTACATTACGTAACTTTAAAGAGTCAGATAAAAAACAAAATTATCCAAATGAATGTCATTGTTTTGAATGGAATCTTCAGTCAAAGAAAGTGATGAGAAAACTGTTTCAGAAAATAAGTTTTTCATATGTTTTTGAAAAGTCCTCTTCACACAGACTATATTAGGACTGGACTGACAGAGTTAGTGTTTTCCTTAATGCCGTCTGTCTCGGAGCATTAATGTGGAGCCAAATGTATGCCATTTTTATTCGTTAGCAACGCCTAAGTTTCCAAGTGCTAATCAGGAGCAGTGCCGGCCTTGCCCTTCTTGCTCTACTCACTCGTTACAGAAGGCTCTTGATTGGTCAGTTACAGAAGGCTCTTGATTGGTCAGTTACAGAAGGCTCTTGATTGGTCAGTTACAGAAGGCTCTTGATTGGTCAGTTACAGAAGGCTCTTGATTGGTCAGTTACAGAAGGCTCTTGATTGGTCAGTTACAGAAGGCTCTTGATTGGTCAGTTACAGAAGGCTTTGATTGGTCAGTTACAGAAGGCTCTTGATTGGTCAGTTACAGAAGGCTCTTGATTGGTCAGTTACAGAAGGCTCTTGATTGGTCAGTTACAGAAGGCTCTTGATTGGTCAGTTACAGAAGGCTCTTGATTGGTCAGTTACAGGGCTCTTGATTGGTCAGTTACAGAAGGCTCTTGATTTGGTCAGTTACAGAAGGCTCTTGATTGGTCAGTTACAGAAGGCTCTTGATTGGTCAGTTACAGAAGGCTCTTGATTGGTCAGTTACAGAAGGCTCTTGATTGGGGTCAGTTACAGAAGGCTCTTGATTGGTCAGTTACAGAAGGCTCTTGATTGGTCAGTTACAGAAGGCTCTTGATTGGTCAGTTACAGAAGGCTCTTGATTGGTCAGTTACAGAAGGCTCTTGATTGGTCAGTTACAGAAGGCTCTTGATTGGTCAGTTACAGAAGGCTCTTGATTGGTCAGTTACAGAAGGCTCTTGATTGGTCAGTTACAGAAGGCTCTTGATTGTCAGTTACAGAAGGCTCTTGATTGGTCAGTTACAGAAGGCTCTTGATTGGTCAGTTACAGAAGGCTCTTGATTGGTCAGTTACAGAAGGCTCTTGATTGGTCAGTTACAGAAGGCTCTTGATTGGTCAGTTACAGAAGGCTCTTGATTGGTCAGTTACAGAAGGCTCTTGATTGGTCAGTTACAGAAGGCTCTTGATTGGTCAGTTACAGAAGGCTCTTGATTGGTCAGTTACAGAAGGCTCTTGATTGGTCAGTTACAGAAGGCTCTTGATTGGTCAGTTACAGAAGGCTCTTGATTGGTCAGTTACAGAAGGCTCTTGATTGGTCAGTTACAGAAGGCTCTTGATTGGTCAGTTACAGAAGGCTCTTGATTGGTCAGTTACAGAAGGCTCTTGATTGGTCAGTTACAGAAGGCTCTTGATTGGTCAGTTACAGAAGGCTCTTGATTGGTCAGTTACAGAAGGCTCTTGATTGGTCAGTTACAGAAGGCTCTTGATTGGTCAGTTACAGAAGGCTCTTGATTGGTCAGTTACAGAAGGCTCTTGATTGGTCATTACAGAAGGCTCTTGATTGGTCAGTTACAGAAGGCTCTTGATTGGTCAGTTACAGAAGGCTCTTGATTGGTCAGTTACAGAAGGCTCTTGATTGGTCAGTTACAGAAGGCTCTTGATTGGTCAGTTACAGAAGGCTCTTGATTGGTCAGTTACAGAAGGCTTCTTGATTGGTCAGTTACAGAAGGCTCTTGATTGGTCAGTTACAGAAGGCTCTTGATTGGTCAGTTACAGAAGGCTCTTGATTGGTCAGTTACAGAAGGCTCTTGATTGGTCAGTTACAGAAGGCTCTTGATTGGTCAGTTACAGAAGGCTCTTGATTGGTCAGTTACAGAAGGCTCTTGATTGGTCAGTTACAGAAGGCTCTTGATTGGTCAGTTACAGAAGGCTCTTGATTGGTCAGTTACAGAAGGCTCTTGATTGGTCAGTTACAGAAGGCTCTTGATTGGTCAGTTACAGAAGGCTCTTGATTGGTCAGTTACAGAAGGCTCTTGATTGGTCAGTTACAGAAGGCTCTTGATTGGTCAGTTACAGAAGGCTCTTGATTGGTCAGTTACAGAAGGCTCTTGATTGGTCAGTTACAGAAGGCTCTTGATTGGTCAGTTACAGAAGGCTCTTGATTGGTCAGTTACAGAAGGCTCTTGATTGGTCAGTTACAGAAGGCTCTTGATTGGTCAGTTACAGAAGGCTCTTGATTGGTCAGTTACAGAAGGCTCTTGATTGGTCAGTTACAGAAGGCTCTTGATTGGTCAGTTACAGAAGGCTCTTGATTGGTCAGTTACAGAAGGCTCTTGATTGGTCAGTTACAGAAGGCTCTTGATTGGTCAGTTACAGAAGGCTCTTGATTGGTCAGTTACAGAAGGCTCTTGATTGGTCAGTTACAGAAGGCTCTTGATTGGTCAGTTACAGAAGGCTCTTGATTGGTCAGTTACAGAAGGCTCTTGATTGGTCAGTTACAGAAGGCTCTTGATTGGTCAGTTACAGAAGGCTCTTGATTGGTCAGTTACAGAAGGCTCTTGATTGGTCAGTTACAGAAGGCTCTTGATTGGTCAGTTGATAGAACTCACATCTGGATTAACAAAGGTATGGGCTTTAAAATATGAAAGCCCAAAATAGTGGGTGTGAAACAAATGTTGTCTATTGGGCTTCGTTGAGCTAGTGGGTTAGCATTGTCCGAGAGAGGTGAAGGGAGAGAGGTGAAGGAGAGAGGGGAAGGAGAGAGGTGAAGGAGAGAGGTGAAGGGAGAGAGGTGAAGGGAGAGAGGTGAAGGGAGAGACAGTGAAGGGAGAGAGGTGAAGGAGAGAGGTGAAGGGAGAGAGGTGAAGGGGAAGAGGTGAAGGGAGAGAGAGGAGGAGGGAGGAGAGAGGAGAGAGAGGAGGAGAGGTGAGAGGAGGAGAGAGGAGGAGAGAGGAGAGGGGAGAGAGGGAGGAGGGGAGAGAGGAGGGGAGAGGAGGTGAGAGGAGAGGGAGGAGAGGAGAGAGGGAGAGAGGGGAGAGGAGGAGAGGGAGGAGAGGGGAGGAAGAGAGGTGAAGGGAGAGAATGGGAGAGGGAGAGGTGAAGGAGAGAGGTGAAGGGAGAGGATGAGGGGAGAGGGAGAGAGGTAAGGAGAGAGGTGAAGGGAGAGAGGTGAAGGGAGAGAGGTGAAGGAGAGAGGTGAAGGGAGAGAGGTGAAGAGGAGAGGTGAAGGGAGAGAGGTGAAGAGGAGAGAGAGTGAGAGGGGAAGAGGTGAAGGAGAGAGAGAGGTGAAGGAGAGAGGTGAAGGGAGAGAGGTGAAGGGGGAGAGAGAGAGGGAGAGAGGGGAGAGAGGTGAAGGGAGAGAGGTGAAGGAGAGGTAGTGAAGGGAGAGAGGTGAGAGGGAGAGAGGTGAGAGGGAGAGAGGTGAAGAGAGGTGAAGGAGAGAGAGAGTGAAGGAGAAGGAGAGAGGTGAAGGAGAGAGGTGAAGGGAGAGAGGTGAAGGAGAGACAGTGAAGGGAGAGAGGTTGAGGAGAGAGGTGAAGGAGAGAGGTGAAGGAGAGAGGTGAAGGGTGAGAGAGGTGAAGGAGAGAGGTGAAGGAGAGAGGTGAAGGAGAGAGGTGAAGGAGAGAGGTGAAGGGAGAGAGGTGAAGGAGAGAGAGAGGTGAGTGAAGGAGAGAGAGGTGAAGGGAGAGAGGTGAAGGGAGAGAGGTGAAGAGAGAGGTGAAGGAGAGACGTGAAGGAGAGAGAGGAGGTGAAGGGAGAGAGGTGAAGGGAGAGAGGTGAAGGAGAGAGGTGAAGGGAGAGAGGTGAAGGGAGAGAGGTGAAGGGAGAGAGGTGAAGGGAGAGAGGTGAAGGAGAGAGGTGAAGGAGAGAGGTGAAGGGAGAGAGGTGAAGGGAGAGAGGTGATAGGGAGAGAGGTGACGGAGAGAGAGGTGAAGGGAGAGAGGTGAAGGTGAAGGGAGAGAGGTGAAGGGGGAGAGAGGTGAAGGGGTGGTGAGTTTGGGCACGGTTCTGCTTTGTTGCTTTTGTATCGTTGTTGAATGGCTTCTAGTTATAAGCTAGTAATACGTGTTTTCACCCCACTAAAAACACTATTTTCAAAAGTTTAGTGCATAAGAGAAGCATTTTTAATCGCTTGAAAGTAAGTTACACGTGATATCTGTTGACAGGAGTGCAGTTGGAATGTAAGAACGGATGGATTATTATAGAGGGATGCCTTCATCTATATTGTGTGTATATATAAAAGCACTTGTTGCCCGCTGGCATCAGGATGGCCTTCTCTCCTCACATGAACATTATCATTTTGATCCCTGGACGACTGCCCTTCTCTGCTCACCCATCTGCCTGCTCTCCTGACGCCAAAGCAGGCATCAGTCAACAGACGTTTACGTGGGAGGCAGGACACGGGCAGAATTAGTCAAGTCAAAATTGATTGATCAAAATGTCCATATATATATGTTCCAGAAGTAAAACTGTATACTTCCTAAATGCATATAAGTGTTTATTATCTGGTGCTTTAATAATAATTTAGGGCTAGTATTCAAGTAATCACAACAAATTGATTAATGACAAAGTTGTCAACAAATTTAGTAATTGACTAATCATTTGTCAAACTTTACATAAAGTTAATCGCTCTGAAGAGGTTTCATGACTTTGATCATTCTGACTGCAGATGAAATTAAATGTGTTTACAAAGTATTTTCAATCAAAGAACCCTGTGAAAAGTCATCTCTAGCAAGACGTTCTTCAGGAGCATCATTTGAGCTTTGTTTTGGTCAAATTTAGAAAAAGTCCATCCATCCATTTTCTTCCCCTTAATCCATTTCTGGGTCGGGGGGGTGGCCAGAGATGCCACCCAGTCCACAGAGCACCAGCCCCTCACTGATCCTCCTGCAGGTGCTGAGTCCACAGGAGCTGAGATCTTTCAGCAGAGGCTTCACGCAAAGTGGGGTTTAGTGTCTTGCCTAAGGACACAACGACAGCAGTCATCAGTGGGAGTGGTGAAGTAGGTCTTACGGTGGGCTCGAACCCATGACCTTCAGGCTCAAAGGCCACTGTCGCCTCTGACAAAAAGTCCCTGTTGTCATGAAAATGTAATCGTTGCTGTACAGACTAGGCCCAAACCAATAGATATAAAAGAGGACATTTAATGACACTGAATTATAACAAAATACATTTAGACATAACAGAAAATATCATACCCCAGAGAGAGAGAGAGAGAGAGAGAGAGAGAGAGAGAGAGAGAGAGAGAGAGAGAGAGAGAGAGAGAGAGAGAGAGAGAGAGAGAGAGAGAGAGAGAGAGAGAGAGAGAGAGAGAGAGAGAGAGAGAGAGAGAGAGAGAGAGAGAGAGAGAGAGAGAGAGAGAGAGAGAGAGAGAGAGAGAGAGAGAGAGAGAGAGAGAGAGAGAGAGAGAGAACGAACCCTGGAGGCTCTGGACCTCAGCATTAGCTACATGTTGCGTAGAGAGTTGACACCGACCAAGAGCCCAACCATTTGCAGTAAAAAAAAACACATTGGAATACATTAGCAAAAGTCTCCAGTGTGCACAGACAAATACAGACATAAAACAACATTAAAAGACAGAAATAAAACAAATAAAACAGTAAACAAATGTCACTGTGCAATCGATCGACTAAAACAGTTTCAAAACAAATCATTAAAGTGCTCTGTTCAAACTGATAAAAACTGCATCTCAGAGAGCGATATCTTCTGCCAGAGGGAAGAAGCTGGAACATGGCTTTTCCCATTGACAATCCTCAGAGCTTTGTTTAAAAGTCTGGAGTTATGTGTAATGCGTCCTACTATTTGTTTTACTATGTACAAACCTCTTCCTCCACTGACCTTAAGATGCCTGGAACTGATCCGTGTCCGTGTCACTAATAACTCATCTGTATCATCAAGCATCGACCCAAACAGGATTTCTTTGATCTTTTAGTATGCCGTTTTAAAGTCCATTTCAACATGCTCCTCACAAAATACTACTCTGTCTAAACTAATAAACAATGGCCTGCATTATCATCAGGCAAGAGCTAAGACCTCTCGGGTGTGAAAGATTATAAATCCTAAAATGATAAGATTGTATACGTCCTAAATGCATGAATGCGGTTTGTCATGTGGCGCTGTCACCATAACGACGCCACATCGGTAAAGTCGGACGGAACAGCTGTTGTCTCAAACCGTCTGGTCTTGACCTTTTCGGGATGAGATGAGCCTTTGGTCGACTGCTCTTGTTTCATGCGTGTACATCGTCTCCTCTGTCGCACGGTTAAATGCCAAGGGTGGGTCCTCTGCCTTCACATTCAGTCCACGGAGACGGTCGCCACGGCAACGGGAGGAGCAAAAACCATGGGGTATCGCCGTATTGCGCCTCCATGTATGAAAGGAAGTGTTTCTCAAAAGGCGTGCACGGACAGGTTGCAAGCAAGAACTCCTGGAAAATATCAGTCACCAAAGATTATTTTGTTTGTTTGTACAAGCATACAGGAAGTCGGCAAATTCACTGGAAATGGATCTGCGACGTGAGTAGAGCTTAAAGTTTTCATCAATACAATTCTACAGTCGCATATTTAAAAAAAAAGATTCTTATAAAATGATTTAGACTGAGAGCACTCCGCTGTGGATATTTGTTTCCAAGTAGCAAGTATTGTCTTGTCTTCAAACTTTTGATATTTGTAACTTTTAAAACATATTGCATGGAGATTATTCATTCTAATATTCTTATCATTCTATAACCAACTCACACTGTAAAAAAAAATCTGTAAAATTACAATGACATTTTAACATTAAACAAATGTTACTTTGAAAAACAATTCAAACTTGCAAAATTAAGTATAAATTGGTTAAAAAACATCCAGTGGCGTTTTTTTACCACAATTATAATGTGATCACCGTAAACATTTACCGCTGGGAAATGTTTGCTTTTGTTAAACATGTTATAGAAGTAAAGATGAAGAACTATTTTCTTGTATAAACTGAAGATGTGAAAAAATAATTGAAAAGTTGTGTTCATTAAAGGAAAACAAAATTAAACTGTAGTTTTTTGTTCAATGAAACTAATTAGAAACAGTCGTATGGTATAATAATACTAAATTAACATTATAAATCTGTTTTTGTAGTGAATGAACAGGAACATAAAGTTAAATCCTGAAATCACAAAGACATCTGTGATTCAGTGAAACAGTCTGTCATGTTGAGAAAACGGTAAATCCCTGGAACCATATTTGCCAGATTTTTACCGTTTTTCTACAAGGACATTCTTTACAGTGTAGTCAGGCTTTGGCCCTTGCTCAATTTGTCGTTCTGTTCTCATGTCACTCCCGTATTCGTCCCGGAAACCGGATTCGTCCGGAAGTTCAGTTTGCGCATGTCAAAAAGTGTAATAAGTCCTTAAGTGGGGACTGGTTAAGTTTAGGCGTCTGAGTAAGATGGTTAAGGTTAGGGTTAAGGTGGTCTGAGTAAGATGGTTAGGATTAAGGTGGTCTGAGTAAGATGGTTAAGGTTAGGGTTAAGGTGGTCTGAGTAAGATGGTTAAGGTTAGGGTTAAGGTGGTCTGAGTAAGATGGTTAAGGTTAGGGTTAAGGTGGTCTGAGTAAGATGGTTAAGGTTAGGGTTAAGGTGGTCTGAGTAAGATGGTTATGGTTAGGGTTAAGGTGGTCTGAGTAAGATGGTTAAGGTTAGGGTTAAGGTGGTCTGAGTAAGATGGTTAAGGTTAGGGTTAAGGTGGTCTGAGTAAGATGGTTATGGTTAGGGTTAAGGTGGTCTGAGTAAGATGGTCAAGGTTAGGGTTAAGGTGGTCTGAGTAAGATGGTTAAGGTTAGGGTTAAGGTGGTCTGAGTAAGATGGTTGAGGTTAGAGTTAAGGTGGTCTGAGTAAGATGGTTAAGGTTAAGGTTAAGGTGGTCTGAGTTAGATGGTTAAGGTTAGGGTTAAGGTGGTCTGAGTAAGATGGTTAAGGTCAGGGTTAAGGTGGTCTGAGTAAGATGGTTAAGGTTAGGGTTAAGGTGGTCTGAGTAAGATGGTTATGGTTAGGGTTAAGGTGGTCTGAGTAAGATGGTTAAGGTTAGGGTTAAGGTGGTCTGAGTAAGATGGTTAAGGTTAGGGTTAAGGTGGTCTGAGTAAGATAGTTAAGGTTAGGGTTAAGGTGGTCTGAGTAAGATGGTTAAGGTTAGGGTTAAGGTGGTCTGAGTAAGATGGTTAAGGTTAGGGTTAAGGTGGTCTGAGTAAGATGGTTATGGTTAGGGTTAAGGTGGTCTGAGTAAGATGGTCAAGGTTAGGGTTAAGGTGGTCTGAGTAAGATGGTTAAGGTTAGGGTTAAGGTGGTCTGAGTAAGATGGTTGAGGTTAGAGTTAAGGTTGTCTGAGTAAGATGGTTAAGGTTAAGGTTAAGGTGGTCTGAGTTAGATGGTTAAGGTTAGGGTTAAGGTGGTCTGAGTAAGATGGTTAAGGTTAGGGTTAAGGCGGTCTGAGTAAGATGGTTAAGGTTAGGGTTAAGGTGGTCTGAGTAAGATGGTTAAGGTTAGGGTTAAGGTGGTCTGAGTAAGATGGTTAAGGTTAGGGTTAAGGTGGTCTGAGTAAGATGGTTAAGGTTAGGGTTAAGGTGGTCTGAGTAAGATAGTTAAGGTTAGGGTTAAGGTGGTCTGAGTAAGATGGTTAAGGTTAGGGTTAAGGTGGTCTGAGTAAGATGGTTAAGGTTAGGGTTAAGGTGGTCTGAGTAAGATGGTTAAGGTTAGGGTTAAGGTGGTCTGAGTAAGATGGTTAAGGTTAGGGTTAAGGTGGTCTGAGTAAGATGGTTAAGGTTAGGGTTAAGGTGGTCTGAGTAAGATGGTTATGGTTAGGGTTAAGGTGGTCTGAGTAAGATGGTCAAGGTTAGGGTTAAGGTGGTCTGAGTAAGATGGTTATGGTTAGGGTTAAGGTGGTCTGAGTAAGATGGTCAAGGTTAGGGTTAAGGTGGTCTGAGTAAGATGGTTAAGGTTAGGGTTAAGGTGGTCTGAGTAAGATGGTTAAGGTTAGGGTTAAGGTGGTCTGAGTAAGATGGTTAAGGTTAGGGTTAAGGTGGTCTGAGTAAGATGGTTATGGTTAGGGTTAAGGTGGTCTGAGTAAGATGGTCAAGGTTAGGGTTAAGGTGGTCTGAGTAAGATGGTTAAGGTTAGGGTTAAGGTGGTCTGAGTAAGATGGTTGAGGTTAGAGTTAAGGTTGTCTGAGTAAGATGGTTAAGGTTAAGGTTAAGGTGGTCTGAGTTAGATGGTTAAGGTTAGGGTTAAGGTGGTCTGAGTAAGATGGTTAAGGTTAGGGTTAAGGTGGTCTGAGTAAGATGGTTAAGGTTAGGGTTAAGGCGGTCTGAGTAAGATGGTTAAGGTTAGGGTTAAGGTGGTCT